GCCGAAACCCGTTGGTTCCACCACCGTGAGTGGCGGAATTCTCATGCCCCCATCAGTTCTGTATAAATATACATAACTATAAGTATAAATACTTATAGCTATACATAGTTATACAGGGTCACCCTGATTTTTGTGCTCATAATAAAGAAAACAAAGAAAACATGAAAAGAATTAATTAATATTAAATCATTAAATCAATATTATAGAATTTTTGTTTATTTACATACTGAAAGTGAGTTATTATAATTTATAAACTTAATTTTTAATATTTAATTTATATACTCAAAGTAATTTATTTTACTTTTATACAAACATTTCTAAAACATTAATTTCATTTCGTAAACATTAATTAATTTCATACATTTTATATAAGCTAAAAACATTGATTAATTACATTTAAAAATAACATCAAACAATTCAAAAACCTAATCGAAACTTGTAAGGGTGACCACTAAATCCCTAAAAACAATTTTAAAATGTACTTGGAGTCCGGGTCCTTGATGGTCCACACCTCGGATCTTTTGCTTCAGCCGTCCATTTTAGGGAGACCGGCGCCACCCAGACCTCCAACCCTCCCTATTTTTCCGGGCTTGGGACCGGCACCGGTCCATCGGCGAGTCAACCTGTTTGGCCCGTAAAGCCGCAATTTCGGATTTACATTGCGAGGCTACAGGCCAACCCACCTCCGGGCCGAGTGGCTAGGTTGGAACGAATCACACAGCCATCACTTGAAGTGATGCTCTTTGCAGCCTTAAGCTTACATACGTTAAGCATAGCATTCATACAATTTCACAGCCTTTTCCCTCTGAATTCGACTAAAAACCTCTACGTCCATACTTTCAGATGCATTGTTGTGGTGCACTCGGCTGTCATGACTTCAGAACACCGCCCCCATCTTGTCAATGTACAGTCGCAGGACGATGTGGTAAGATTTACCTCAAAATAACCGAGAGGCCTCAGAATCCCCCAATTATCACTCTACTCTGACTTGGCAACTTGTCTAAATGAACAGAGTGACGCGATCGTTACTACGTTCGCAGCTCCAAGATGAACTTTACCACTGACCGAACCGAAGCGAACCTGGTTTTAGTGCTCGTCACTCCAAGACGAACTTTACATTTTGAACTAATTCTGCACGTTTTGAACGTTACTTAAACCCGGTAACCTTTCAATTTCAGATTGGTTGTGCCGTGAAAATTGTACAAATCGTTGAAGACAACCTCGTCATTATCATTGCTGCTGTTGTCATTATACTCGTTATTGAGGTCAGTTACCATACACACAACTCAGCTAATCATTGACAAACTACTGCATAGTTCTCATAGAAAGTACTAAACTGTGATTCCAATCCACCAGTTCAAAATTTGGCCTATTCAACTACAAGCCATTTCAGAATTATGTTGCTCCCTTTTGATATCACTTATCCACCAAATCAACTGTCCCTGTCCTTTTTTGAGACGAAGACATAGCGGCAGCAAGAACCAGCAAGCAATGAACACAGCAATGAGAAAAGAGTGTGCATTTAACCTAAAAGGCAGCAGCAAAGGATGCATTTCAACCACACTCAAATTCAAACCGTAATGAATGAAAGAATAGCACATAGACACAAAGAAATAAGGCAGACAGCGAGCAATAACAGGGAATGCTGCTTCCGTAACCTTATACAGTTGCACGTATTCACGACCTTGTAAGCCCATGCAAATACTAATAGAACCTAAGCCTCAGCCCACCCCTCCCCACTAAAACATTCGCCAACACATGTTTAACATCTGAAATCTCCAAGTACTCAAATATTCTGAACGCAAAAATTTCCTGTCGAATAAATAAACGAATGAATATAGCACTCTGATTTCAGTTAATCGCTCTCATCTTCTCTTGTGTCATCTGTAGTGCCATAAAAGAACAACGCAACGCTAACTACTGAACCAAGCAGCACAGCACTTCAATTAATGGCAAAGGCAAAGCACATACATGCATACAAGTGTCGTCGACTGAATCTAACCACACGTCAAATGGCCGTTGTTGCATTCTCTCCGCAAGGAATCCATGAAAGTAGTTGGTATGCGGTGCGTTGACGATCCACAGTGATGAATGATAAACCATGCTGTCCCCTCGTCTTGTTGCTCGGACGTCCTGACTTGCTCGAAAGTCTCAAACGATCTGATTGATTCATGCGGAAGAGCTGAAAGGCTAATGATTAAAAAAGAAGCTCGAAACAATACGAGAAAACATAGCAAGCCGATTCAAGCTCAACGCATGCTTTCACTAGGCAGAAACGAAATGCACGAATGAATGAAACGAACAAGGACTCAATGACGAAACGAACAAAACTCGCGGCTCATGGCTCACGCCACCAGTCATTTACTGTCAGTGTGTGAGCAAGGGGAGGCAAGAGCCTCCCCTTGCTCACACACTGACAGTAAATGACTGCTCTCTAATATAAGCTTCCAGATGGGATTCGTCCCTCGGTTCGTTCATCGTTGATGAACTTTACCATTTTGATGTTCATGAACTTACACTATTGGCGGTAATACAAATGTGGTATTCTTTCATATAATGAATGGTATTTTTTGCAATAAATATCGATATGAGCATTTATATGTACTCTTTTTCACT